ACGCCCGAACTGCGTTCTCGTCCGACGCGCCTCTCGAACTTCTCTGCGCTGGAATTCTCGCCGCAGAACGCGAGTTCCGCAGAAGAAGCTCGCACTGCCCGCGTTGCTGCCTCTCCGAGCCTCGTCCGCCCAAACCGCGAATAAGAGCTTCTCCCGATCGCAAACTCCTCTGTCTCCATTCTTCGCGGACTGTTCCGCAAACTCCTGTCTTCCGGTCGCGAATCGCAGCGCGTCCGTCCGCGCCTCCCGCGAACCGCCCGAGTTGCGTCTTCGTTCTTCGCCGACTGTTTCGTGAACTTTCCTCCCGCAGGATTCACGAACAGCCGCGGATGCAAACTCTCTTCCCGTTCTGCCGGAGACCTAGCCGCGTCGACTAAATTTTTTTCTTCTCTGCACTCGAACTTGTCTTTGATACCACTTGTTGAGAAAATTAGGGCGAAGAAAAACAATAATCGACACAAATCCAGAAGAACACAGAGATTTAACGAGGTTCGGCAAAGATGCCTACGTCCTCGGGAGCAGAGCGGCGAGTTTCTTTTCAATATTCAGAAAAGAGGTTACAGAATAGAGGGATACCTCCTGGGGTTATTAACAGGTCTATTTATAACCCCAGGAGTAAACCTAGGCACAATATGTAATTACGACATTACCCCTGTACCAAACCGCGGGGGTTAGCCCCCAACCCACGTAACTTCCCAATTTGGACAGATTCTTCCGCTCCGCTCCGCTTCGATCCAGTGTCTGTCCCGATATGGTATATGAGCCATACCATAACAGAAGCTTACCATGTTTTGGATGGAGATATGTTTGGCTAGATATAAAGAAACAATCCATTTACGTAAACCATACTATGACAAGTAATTCGGCATCTACACATTCAGGACATGATATTAATAAAGGAAAATTTACATGTGGGGTACACAATTCTTATATATTTACATATCTCATACTTAAAGTTTGATATTTACATACATTGACTTGAACCTGATTTGACACCCCTATATCTGGCACTGTTCTTCTCCCTTGCTCACTTTACTCTACTTTGCGAGCGATTATTGTGTGCGGAGGGCGCACGCAGAGCTGCGCGCGCCCTACGATCACAGCTGCACATCGCGGCTGTATGACAGTGGGACTTTGCTTCTCGTGAAACAGAAGTATTTCAGCTTCAAAAAATGGTTTCGTTCCTCCTGCGGTGTCTCCATTGCTTCAACAATGCTCATCTCTTCAAATTCATTCAAAACTGAGATACGCGCTCCCCGTTGCCTCCCCTTAAAAACTTGATGAGTTTCCTTCGATAGTGCATTGCAGAAAAGCCGAGCATTACGTATGCAATGTCCAAAATGCCATCTTGAAGGTTTTATTATTCTATTAGATTTTCTATCAGTGTCTATATACTCATAAAAAATGTATAAAATACTGTACAACCAGAATTATCTTGTGCAATACTAGGATTTATATACTAACATGATAAAAATTAATTGACCATTCGACATCAAAAAGCTACGTAGTGAAAAATTTTAAAATCTCTGTAGATCTAAAATTAAAAATTGAAATAGGATAACAGTAGCCTGTTTTAAGCTGAACAATATTTTCAACTGGCTTGATGCATGACTTTAAGATCTTTGATTCTGTACTTGCTCCCCCTACCATGTTTCTTTCTCTTCTTTCCTCTCACTAGCAAGCTCATAGGCAAGAAGGAAAATAGCTTGGAAATGAGTCTCTGGAATGGAATATTAACATTATATAAATTATTAAATAATGATATAAATGTAAGAATTGTTATATTTTAATTCAGATTTTATAATAAACTCTTTTATATTTTGAAATGTTGGAGTTTATGTTTAGAACACACTAGATTATTTGTGAATTCAATTTGGCATGTGAGAAATAATAAGTAGTTTAGGAGTAATTTTGTATACTTGAGGTTTTAAATATGTAAATACGCAGGAATTGGGTGGCATGTATTTAAATGCCCCCAAAAAATTTGTAACTGTATAATAGGATAAAATTGACATTTTTCTCATTTTCATAATTACCCACCCTGTTAGTTAATGAAATTTTTATCAGTTGGATGTTTTGAACAACTAATGCTTAAAATTCTTCCATGCCAGGAGTGACACCTGCTGAGAAGCTCTTAGAGCTGTACCACGGAAAGTGGGGATGCAGTGTAGATCCGGTTTTCCAGGAATTGTTATATTAGTTTGTGTAAGTAATTTTAAAATAAATAAATAATAATAATAATAATTTTCAAATTCATTTGGATTTTATTGCATATCAAATAATTGAACTCTCTGATGTCTTTAGCTGCCTATTTCTACCGCTCTGTATGGATTTATATATATATATTTTTGTCTAGCTGTTGGCCAATATATTGTTAGCTGAATTCTTGTCTTGGTAGTCTCTCTTTACCAGCAGAGATAATTGAGTTAATTTCAGTTATATATTTGTTCTTGTTGTTGATATTCTGATATGTTCTTCTTCCATACAGTTTACATACATACCATACAATTCTTATGTATTTGCATGTCTGACACTTAAAATTTCATTTTTACATTTATAACTTTTTGGCTTGATAAAACTATGCGTGAAAAAGGATGAATTTTACTTTTTAAACTTGTAGCAGTACTTTTGATGTGATGTTATTGATTTCAGTGGTATGTCTGCGTGTAAATATGAAAGTTTAGGTGGTTAGATATATAAATACATGAGATTTTTGTGGTATGTGTGTAAATGCCCCTATTTATTATCTGATCAAGGTAATTCTCCTGATTTTCTTAAGGATATGTACATACATATCCATAAACATCACATAAAATATCATCACTGTCTTTTTATAAGGAAGCATACCTTGTCTTGCACGGGTATATGACACCATGGTGTTGTAAGTATAAATATTAAACTTTGGTTGTTAGACATATATAAATACTTAAGAATTGTGTGGTATGTATGTAATTTCCCTTTTTTTTTTTATTTTATACATTGAATTAAATGATTTTCGAGCAATTTTAGTAAATTCACTATTAACACAATTTTATTTCCATAATAAAAAATCAGCAAATAATTCAATTAAACATAAATTAATATGACTTATTTATATAAAGGTCCACAATATATTATTATCACAAGAAGTGATTGACCAAGCTCTAGACATAAATAACACATGTCATTGAACTTTTCTCAATAAACAATAACCAAGTAACTCAACATGCGTGCGCAATAAGCGGCATTTAAATACATACTGCCCAATTCCTAATTATTATTTTTTCTCAAAAAGATTGGCTAGAAGCTAATAGGCGAGCTTCCCGTCAAACTTCATGTGCTTATGAATTCTATTCCGCTCGTAGGTGAGATTGAACCTGTAACCTCATAGGTTTTACAAACTCTGCCAAAGAGTCACGATAAGCGGCATAGTGCCTAATTTCTAATATATTAACATATCTAACAAGCGGCATATAGTGCCTAATTTCTAATATATTAACATATCTAACACATTAACTTTACTATTTACATTTATACCATTCAAATTTTTTATATCATTATTTTAACTTTTAAAAAAAGTGAAATACCTATTTTTATGCATAAGTAAGGTGCTATAAGCTAATTATAAAATAATTTCACAATATTAACATGTGAGATTATAGCATTCAATCATTATAAGCTCATAAGTCAAGTCCAAGAAAAAAAATATGATTTTTTAAAATAAGAATTTCTTGTTAAAATAAATAAATAAATAAATTTCTTTAACGGCAAACTTTTTCCATGGAAATAAACCAACGGCTTCGATGGAAAGAAGGGGAAGTCTTCGTAATTAATTCAATGGTGATGCTCAAGGCTTGAAATAATATTTCATCAATCAATTTTTAATGACAGTTTAATATTATTATACTTCACTAAATTCTAAGATATAATGGAATAACAATTTCAGTTTGGAATATTACGCAATTAGTATTAAAAAAAAAAGACATTTGCACACATGCCACACAATTCTTATGCATTTACATATCTAACACCTTTACTTTCATATATACATGCATATCCCCTTGTTAGGATGCATCTTCTCATGCCTAAATTTATAACACTATGGTGTTATAAATATAAATATGAAAATTTAAGGGTTAGATGTGAAAATACATAATGATTGTATGATATGTATGAAAATTTCTAGGTTGGTATATTCCGACCTATATAAATAATATAGATAATGGACACGTCAATAGTTCATTAAAATAATAATTATATAAATGTTTTTGGTAAAACATAAAAAATAAATCAGTATTAATGATATATATTGGACAGCAATGATAGTTCATCAAATGCCTCATAAATACTCATGCCATGTGTCAAACCATGTTCGCACAAATCTCAAAGATATTTGAGCGAGCATTCAACGCAAATATTTCTCTTAATTACATACACATACCAACTAAGTTTTATGTATTTATATAACTTGCACCTAAACTTTATTTTTCACATTTATACTCAAATAATACAACTATATACTCTAATAAAACTCTTTTTCAAAGATAAGTCATAAAGATTTATAGGCCTTCTGGGCTTCGGAGGCGTATGTCCATAGTTCGAGTTATTTCAAGCTAAGTTATATGTCGAAACGATTGCTGATGTGCTCGATCTAGCCTAGGAGGAACCAACCACCGGGAAAACCATCGTTACCTACAAGACCTTTGTTATATGCTAGAAGATGCATAGTACCCTAAGAAATGTAATTTTATATTTCTTTTCTCTCATGCATAGAAGAGAGGTCAAAGGAGCTCTCTAGGGCTTTGCCTTTCATGACCCCGTAAAGGGATCCTCTCATGAATTAGAAGCAAATAGAGATCCAGAAGCACGAGCTCTAGTGACATGTCTATCTCCCTCTTTCATACTCTATTCTGAAAAGAGGATCTTTATTTGATTGTATGAACTCACGAACAATACGGGACCTTCATGTACTAAAACAATTCAACACATATAGATGATGACATATATGTAAAAAATGAAATTTAGGTTAGATTTGAAAAAAAAACATAATAATTGAGTGGTATACAGCTAAATCTTCTTTTAATTCAATGTGAAACTCAATTCAATTTCCCCAAAGGGCTATTATGAATGGCAGAAAAAAAAATTAAGAGCATTAAACTTTCTTATCGAGCCATGAGTTTGATTAAGCTGAATTAGGCACATTTATGTAGCCTAATTAATTAGAAATAAGATTAGTTAATTAAATCCATTTACCCGATTAATTATTTAAGTTCAATGATTAAGGGGCCACTAACTCATATTATGGCTTAGTCATGATGATGTAAATATCATTAATATTAATTAAATTTATTTAAAGGATGGACTATTTTAATAATGATGATAAATAGGCGATAATATTCATAAATCATAAAATAAGTGAAAAAATATTATATTCCAATAACTGCTCTCAATTTTACTAGTCGAGCGAATTTTTTTTTTCAATTTGATGCTGACTTTTTTTTTTAATTTGATTTTTTAATCAGACCTAATCAATTTGAGGGTTGACTATGTAATTAATAATTAATGGAAAAAGCAGTTTTTTTTTTTCATTTTAAAATTTTGAATGATTGGGATCGAAAGTAATTAAATGAGAAATTTTGGAATATTTTTAGTGGCATTTACACATCTACCAATCAATTCTTATGCAAATTTTACTTTTTACATTTATACCATCCAAAACTTCATATAACAAACACATGTCATTATTTTAATTTTTAAAAAGTGAAATACACTTTTTGATATACGATGACAAATAAAAATTGAAGCTAAGATGGTAGATATGTAATTACAAAATAATTAAATGGTATGTGTGTAAATATTTCAAATTTTTAAAAATTGAAGTGCCAAAATAGTCCTGATTATCTATAGAAGTACCAAAATAATCCAATTGTAAGACAAATTCAAGAGAATTATTCTGCCATCGCTCTCGAGCGCTATTACGGTCACTCCATATTTTTGATAAATCATCAACTCTTATTTAACTTAAATCCGAATTGCAGCCAAACAACCTCTAAAATTGGAGAAAACTTTCCGTCAAACACCACGCGTTCAGACGGCCAATCATCCGGCGGCCACGCCTTTATACACGTAATCGTCCTCGACGTGGCGGTCAGTGATTAGCCGTCCAACCATATAGACTTCTGGGTGGAATATTTTCTCTTAAAGTTGAGCTATAATAGCTTTTCATGGGACTATTTGACATTTTCATAAATATTGAAATTAGAATAATTTAATATAAATAATTAGGGACTATTTTAGCATTTTACACAAATTATATTAATCAATCCAATATAAATAAAAAAGAAAATCCACATCATCTTCCTCGCTAAAGCCTCATCTGTAATTAATCACTTAATCAGTAATGATTACAACTAATTGCCTTTAAAAGGGTAATTAAAATCAGCTAAAATTCAAAACAAATTAGCAGCTTCTATGAAAAGAAGAAGCTTGGCCGGCGATAAGAAGCTTGAGAAAAAAAACCGGACCACGCCGGCGGCCGGCCGGCGGGGGAAGCAGCGCGGACCGGCATAAAGGACAACTGAACCGGCCGAGGTCCAGCCACCTGTCTATGCAAGACACGTGGAACGCGTGGCGGCAGTTCCCGAGTTCCCGGACTTGATCTCTCGCTTCCATGAACTGAAGGCACACCGCGCACGCCGGCGGCGGTTCCCAACTTTCTCCAGTGAGTTTACCATTGGCGAAGCTGATGTAATCGACGATAGGCAGCTGGCTCTTGATGGATTCGGCGGCGGTTAAGATGGCCGGCGAAGGGTCGGCGGAGAAGAGTACCTCCTGGTTATCCGTTGGCGCGGTGTGGAAGATTGAGGTTAGTCCAATTCGACGGAGGATGAGTGAGAGGAGATAGAAGATTTGGTGGAGAAGGTGGAGCAGGATAAGCAGCGGCTTGAGGGACATATTGGCTGCGGGAGCTCCAGAACGCCGGCAGCGGAGCCTCGCTTATTTATAGAAGAAACAGGGGTGGGGGGTCAGAGTCATAAAAACCTTTTTGATAAGGATGAAATTAGAATTTTATATAAGAAAATGTGAAAGAAAATTTTTTTGTAATATGCATATAATATATATATATAGACACACCCACACACACTACATGTCACGCCCACACACACTTCATGTCACGGGTTCGATACCCGGTGGTGCTGGGTTATCAAATATTTAGGCACATGACACGAGCTCATATCATGGGACATAGCAAATGAGAAATTATTATTTGGGCTTCTATCAAATACCGATTTCTTTTTTCAAAAAATATATACACAAAAAAATATACACATAAGAATAATATGACAATATAACAAAAGATCAAAACAATTATTTGTAATTATTTGTAATTAAGATATTAGTTACCATAAAATGAGAAAAATATTGTCAATAAATACAACGATTAGTGCCACGTATCACGGTCTGTTGATTGACATCCACGGTATAAAATCTTTCAGGTTGGGGGTTCGAATCCCCTCTGGTGCAATTGACGTTAAGAAAATGGTACTCGAATTATGAGGCAGATTAGGGGTGGCTGGAGACTCGTATACGATTCCTTTTAAAAAATAAAATAAAACTTAACAATCATAATGACAAAAAAAAAATACGTACAAATATCCGCTGTGAAATTTATATATCTTAACAATCATAATGACAAAAAAAAAATATGTACAAATATCCGCAGTGAAATTTATATATATTAAAACATTAAGATGTACATCTTAATGTTTTAATATATATAAATTTCACAGCGGATATTTGTACATATTTACATCTTAATGTTTTAATGTATATAAATTTCACAGCGGATATTTGTACGTATTTTTTTTTATCGGTTTGGTTGTGTGTTTATTTTTTTTTTTTTTTTTTTTGAGATATTTCATAATAATGTGGGTAATAGGTTTCATGTCATATTTTATACTAGATATCAATTTTGAAAGCGAAATCTACACTAAAATAGAGGGGCATTTATATGCAATCACTCAATTCCTACCAATTTACTTATCTACCATCTAAATTTTATTATTTACAATATCATTCGAATACTTCACACTTTTGACAAGTGAAATACAGTTGATGTAAAATTAGGTATGAGATATGTAAATGCATAAGAATTAAGTGGTATGTATGTAAATCTTCCAATAAATTTAAATTAGATTATCTTGACCCAAATTTGTTTCTCAAAGAGACCCTTGCCATGACTTGTAACAAACCTCGCAAATGGCATGCTTACAAGTAATTTAAACAAAAATTATAGTCTACTTTATTTTGCTTCTTGTAAATTGTTGAATGATGCATTTGTCCCATATAAATTAAACACATATTTTATAATTGCATATCATTTAGACACGCTATGTTATTGGTATTGCCCAGAAGAAACACGTCCATCTCGTTAAAACCTAAATTTTGTAATTTTTCTAAGGATTTTATCAACAAAAGAATTTCTCCACAAGGCCTTAGTTGTAAAGAAAATTCAATCACAATTCAAAATGAAAAGGTATGCATCACTTCTAATAGTTAACCGTAGGCATTTAGACACATTCATACGAGAAAATATTACATCAGGACTCCTAATACAGTTTGTGTTCGGAGTCCAGCGGTGGGGGCGCCACGTGTCAATTGGGCCCCACCATAACAGTGTTAAAAACGGTGGAACCCACTTAACACATGACACCCTACCATTGAACTTCGAATGCATTAGGAGTCATGATGTAATATTTTTCCCATTAGTACTTACCCCTCTATTATTAAATATTTACATATATACCACTGAAACTTCAATTTTTACAAACTTGCCATCTCACTTATACATTGGAAGGAGTATTCCAACATTTTTTGTTTTAGTTAAAATGGTGATATTATGTATGAGATATGAAAGAGTTTGATGGCATTAATCTTACAAACAAAGTTTACTTGTTTGCTACGTAAGATATTGTTATGGTATGACTCATATACCATATAGGGACAGACGCTGGAACGAAGCGGAGCAGAGCGGAGCGAAGCGGAAGAATCTATCCAAATCAGGAAGTTACGTTATGTGGGTTGGGGGTGCTGGGTCAACGCCGCGCTATACGGTACAATGGTAGTTTGGTAATTACATATTGTACTGTAGGGTTTACTCTAGGATTATAAATAGACATGTTTGTAATTCTAGGTCTTTGAGAGAGTTGGATCCCTGAATTCTGTAAACTCTTTTCTGATTATTGAAAGGAACTCTCCGCTCTGCTCCCGAGGACGTACGCATTTTTGTCAAACCTCGTTAAATCTCTGTGTTCTTCTGGATTTGTGTTGTTACTGTTTTTCTTCGCCCTAATTTTCTCAAGAGATATCTTATTTGAAATGAAATATTAGTTTGCTGTGAGAAGGGGCCAATTGAAATACTTGAGTGCAATATAAAATACAAACTTCAATCTTTACATACATACCACCTAAACCATGCATGTAAAGGTTTGCTTCCCTTCTGATAGTTAGAACGGTGGCATTTTTTCTATGATATGAAAGATTTTGGTGGTATAATTGTAAAAAAACCTAAGTTTAGGTGTTGGATACGTAAATACTTAAAAATTGAGTGGTTTATGTAACAAAAATGCATTAATGTCATATGCTTGATAAAATAATAATCATTCATATTTGACTCACGTTTGTTTCACATGTTTCATCCCAATACCAACCTTATCATTCGAGCCAACAAGTTTGACTAGAAATAAACTTTATTCTGGTGTGAACTAAACATGTTGCGCCACATCAAATAGTAAGTTATTATTATATTGAGCATGAAAAATGATTCGACATTTATTGACTCAACTGTGAATTATGATGAAAAAATATATAGATCTTAATATGGAAAAAAATGCTTGCCACAATCTATATTAATGATGATTATAACTAAGAAATGTTCCAACTACTTTTCTTATTTGAAAGATTTACATAAATGCCACTTAATTTCTATGTATTTACATATGTAAAACTTAAATTTCAATTTTTACATGTATGCCACTTCATCAATACGTAAAATGAGTTATTTCATCTTTTAGGACTTAAAATAGAAATATTTTTTATGTGATAAAAATATTTTTGGTGAAATACATGTGAAAAAATAAAACATTAATCAAATTTGCATTAAAGTTCTGAAATTTACATGAAGTAAACGCACTGTTCAAAGCTATTTGATTTTTATTTGAAGTTCGCATGGCCTGATCTAACAGCGTACACGAGTTGAGTTGAGCCGAGCTCAAGCCATCCTTGATTTTAGCTTGAATAGTTAATTAAGTTCAAGCTCGAACTTAACTCTATGAGTGCTTGCTTAACATGAGAGAAAATATTAATTTAAACTATTGTTATAAAAAAAAAGGATAAATGAAATGAGAATTTAAGAGAACCGAGACAATTTTAAAAAAATATATATGATAAAATATTATTTTTAAAATATTTTTAATATTTAAAAATAAATTCTTAATTTTTAATTTATTTTAAGTATATTTTTATTAATTTCTTTTGAACGAGCCTACTCTCGATCTAGTAGGTTGTGTCAGGGCAGCTTGGTGTGTTAGCTCATGGAGATCAATTTACGAGTCACTTATCGAGCTCACTCATGAGTTAGCTCGGCTCACTTACAGCCCTATCTGAGCACATAAAGTAGATCTCTTATGTATTTACATATCCAACACCTTAACTACAATTGCTACGTACACATCACCTTACTTATGCATGAAAATGTGCATATCTGTCTTGAAAGTTAAAACTATTGTTATTTTTAATATCATAGGAAAGAATTGGATTGTATAAATGTAAAATAACAAAGTTAACATGTTAGATATGTAAATACATAAGAATTTGTTGTCATGTATGTAAATGCCTCTAAATATAGTGGGAATATTTTTAGCAGGTGTCATTTAAATCACGTGATTAATACTCCATAAGTAAAAATTTGTAAGGTCTGCAATTCCCAACGTGCGATTGACGGTGAAGATTAAAAGCTGGCCGGCGGCCGCCTCGCCAACCTTATGTTATTGAATCTTGTGTTATGTACTCTTTTCTGAATATTGAAAAGGAAGTCGTTGTTATGCTTCCGAGGACGTAGACATCTTTGTCAACCTCGTTAAATTTGTGTTCTTCTGGATTTGTGTCGTTACTGTTTTTCTTCGCCCTAATTTTCTCAAGAGATATCTTATTTGAAATGAAATATTAGTTTGCTGTGAGAAGGGGCCAATTGAAATACTGGAGTGCAATATAAAATACAAACTTCAATCTTTACATACATACCACCTAAACCATGCATGTAAAGGTTTGCTTCCCTTCTGATAGTTAGAACGGTGGCATTTTTTCTATGATATGAAAGATTTTGGTGGTATAATTGTAAAAAAACCTAAGTTTAGGTGTTGGATACGTAAATACTTAAAAATTGAGTGGTTTATGTAACAAAAATGCATTAATGTCATATGCTTGATAAAATAATAATCATTCATATTTGACTCACGTTTGTTTCACATGTTTCATCCCAATACCAACCTTATCATTCGAGCCAACAAGTTTGACTAGAAATAAACTTTATTCTGGTGTGAACTAAACATGTTGCGCCACATCAAATAGTAAGTTATTATTATATTGAGCATGAAAAATGATTCGACATTTATTGACTCGAGTGTGAATTATGATGAAAAAATATATAGATCTTAATATGGAAAAAAATGCTTGCCACAATCTATAATAATGATGAATATAACTAAGAAATGTTCCAACTACTTTTCTTATTTGAAAGATTTACATAAATGCCACTTAATTTCTATGTATTTACATATGTAAAACTTAAATTTCAATTTTTACATGTATGCCACTTCATCAATACGTAAAATGAGTTATTTCATCTTTTAGGACTTAAAATAGAAATATTTTTTATGTGATAAAAATATTTTTGGTGAAATACATGTGA